TTTCTCTTGGAAGGAAAAAAAATCCACCACAACTTGCTAAATTGCCTTACCAGGATTTGATTATTGCGGATACCGGGCAAGGCAGTGCCAGTCACAGATCATTTGTGGGAAGCAATTTTAATAGGGATATCAATATAAATAAATAGAGGGATTTTTCCCCAGTGTGTTGAAAGGCTCTTTTCATTACTCTCACAATAGCTGCTGATCATGTTCTCCCGTTCTCTCACACAGCATCCGTGGCCGTAGCACATGGATGCACTGACTTCTGACTGCACACACCGTGTTCTGGTCCAGCAGCTTTGCAATTTCCCCCTTCTTACTCTTTTAAGTTGTTAAAGACAGGAGCACAAACAGAAATGCTGCCCCTTCAGAGACACTGATGGGGAGATGTGCCACAGTGTGGGGATGGGTACCCCGTGTCCTCCCCAGCTGACAGTCAGGGACCCCAGGCATGGCTGCTGGCATATAAATGGGCCACATCCAGCCGAGGCAGCCACTGAGCCTTCCCTTGATGTGGTCACAGGCTTTCACCTCCAGGAGATGGGGCAGGAGGAGCTGTTTCGTGTAATCGAAGTGCCACGATGCATTAGTGTGGAGATGCGAAAGAACAACAACTGCATCTCAAACCATGATAGTTAATTTATTATTGCAGAACTGAGAGGCAGATGGGTGTTTTATTCCCCACCCTGGATAGATTGTTATAAAACAGATACATTAATTTGATTTTCCCCCCACCCACAGCTATAAAACCAGAAAGCTCTCAATAGAATCAAGGAGAGAGCTGTGGGTGTCATGATGACTTATGCCCTTGAAAAACTTCACCAAGAATTTCTAGCAGGAGCTGCTAACAAACCAAATCTTAGTACTCCTTAGCAGTGCAAGAAGCAACAGTTTGGGCTTTTATCCATTTCAGACTCAAAAATCCCAAAGCATTCTCCATGCATCTAGCAGGCCTTGTAGGCAAGAGCTTTTATCCCCATGCGGCTGAAGGATGCACCGAGGTAACAGAACTTGGTGCAACTTAAATACATGAGCAGGCAGCAAGCAAGAAAACAAGTTGTCCTCCCAGCAGTCGCCTAACCCACAAGAGGCTTTTTGCTTTGAAACAGAGCCACGCAGAGCGTTATTTGTTTTTACATCTCCTCTTCCCTCCTGACCACACCTGATTCCTGATAGGAACAAAAACGCCACAGAAATGGCCGATTTCTTGGGAGAAGCACAGAGAATGTGAATTGCTTCTCAGCTGTTTCTGTTTCAAATCTCTGAGGACAGTGCCAGTACATGGCTTGCACGCCCATGCCTGCTGCCTGGGTCTGATGTCCCACCATCATAGTAGGGTCCTGTGCTGCCTCTTGGGTATTGATGTGGTTTGGGTGCTCTCTATATAGCCTAACTGCTGGCTTGGATGTGGAGGGGAGTTGTCCCTGCTCCCAAAAAGCTGGGGGCTGTGTTTCCACAGTGAGGGTGCTCGTAAGGAGCTGCTCAGCCTCTGGCCATCCTACCTGCACTCAAGTAGCTGCAGGCCAGATCACATCAGGGCAGTCACCTCCTCTTAATATGAGCTTCTGGACAACACTGCAACAGAACTGAAAGGATTAAGAGAAACAGAACTAAAAGAATTAAAAGAAACATAACTAAAAGAATTAAACATAACTAAAAGACCTGAAAGAAACCACAAAACTAAAAGAGGGTAGCTTGAGGCTGGATATAAGGAAGAAATTTGTTATGCTGAGGTGGTGAGACACTGGCACAGGTTGCCCCAGAGAGGTGGTACATGCCCCATACCTGGAAACATTCCAGGTCAGGTTGGATGTGGCTCTGGCCAACCTGATCTCATTGAAGATGGCCCTGTTTATGGCAGGGTGATGGGACCAGATGAGGTTTAAGGGCTACTTCCAACCCAAACCGTTCTACGATTCTGTGATAAAACCTGCATGCGTTATTTCTGTGATGATCACATTCTGTCTTTCCAAAACCCAGGTATATCCATCCAGCTCCTGCATGGCAGGCAACCACAACCCATTAACATCCAGAGATGCTTTGAAATGTTAGTGAATCATTTCCATGCCCAGTGGATTATGCTACTAATCAAATCTGACATATGACTAGCCGGAATACCTAGGCCTTATTCACAGCTGGAAACGTCACCTGGCTCGGATTCAAAAACAACTTAATCAAGAGGTGGCCTTTAGATTAAAGACAAAGTATTTTTCCCAGTTTTGATTATTGGGTGTAGGTAACAGGAAACTGAAAGATGCTGATAATCTGGGCAGCTACATCAAGAAAAAGAAATGTAAAAGTTATCACGCATCAGTGGAGGTTTTGGGCTAAGGGTTGGCCCTTGGACTACATTTCAAAATCAGACACTGAATCTTGAAGAATTCAGCCAGATAATAAAGGCGATAACATGGAAGCTGAACCAGAGGCTCTTTTGTGGGGCTCTGTAATCTTGACCCTGCCTCCATTGTGCCCATCAGTGTAGCGGCTGCATCTTACAGCATCACCTGGCTGCTAAAAACTCTCTGTAAATTGGACACAGTGTGAGAAGCAAATATAGCAACTTTGTCCATAATGGAAGTTTTCCCAGCATTAAGAAGCAAATAGCTTCAGAAAAGGACAATTTGGGTTCTGTATCCATTGTAATTTTATAGGACTGCGGCAAAACTGCAGAACCCAAAGCGACACATTTCCCCGTCTCTCAATGTGGTTAGAGTTCAGCAGAAAATGGGATACTAAATTAAAGAGAGCTATCACAGGCTGATCTTCCGCGCTCAGATATATCGTTATACACAAGTATACCGTCATGCATAACCACAGCTACATCCCCACAGCCCCTATGTGCACAGCGAGCCACTTTCCTGCAGAAGAAGGATATTTGGGATGCTCTGCTGTGACATTTATTGACAAAAGTCCCAGGGGAATTGCACCTATTCTTTTTTGGTATTACCCGTGTAATGCAAGATATAAAATTCTCAGTAGATGTTCCAAGTTTGTATTTAATAGACCTGGAGGCTCTGAGTGCCTTTTCACAGATTGCGTTCCAGCTGTCTGCCGATATTTGAATGTGCAGGTCTTGGTCCCATGCTGTGCAAACAGGCAGCCTCCCACACATTTTGTGTACCAGGAGTAATTTATGAGTCTATCTATAAAGGAAATAACAGTGCGTTAAGAAGGGGTTATGTAAAGCTCTGAGATTGAGAAGTAGCTCAGTTAACTCAGTACAACTTCCCAACATCACCGTTATGTTTCAGCTGATTTACAAATACAGGAGACCTTCAGCTGGTGATTCATATTCCTTCTGAAGCAGACAGGGAGGGGGGGCAAGTATAATAACTGTCTCTGCATAAATCTCATGTCACTAAAAGGCTCCTACCTTGAAACCTCATATTCATTAACCATCTTTTGCAAATACGAGTGTCTGAATTGAACTGCAAGTCCCAAGACGCTGTGGGATATTCTGGTACCAACCAAATAGAGGGGATGATAAAATGAGAGGCACTGCCATTTATTTCCAATCTCATGCCACAGGGATTTCTTCCAAATTGCCATTTAATGCAGATTCTACAGGCAATGCATTGGAATCTGCACAATAAAATCCCACATGGAGCACCCAGCACCCCTGTCAGAAGCAATGGAGGAGCAGTGGGGCTGCACTGGGGGCATCCTGCCTGGCCCCCATGTTGAAGAGAATGCTCCAACATCACATACAGTGATCCAGGCTCTGCTTGATCAAAATAAACCCATTGATTTGCAGCAATGATTTTGCTTTCCCCAAGAGGAAACCAGCCTCTAGATATCAGTGACTCTTGTTCTGAAGACCTGTCTGCAAACCATTTCAGTCCTGCCTTGCAAAGGCAGCTAGCAGGTAATGGGGTCCAAACAGCAAAACCTTCCCTAATCACAGAGCAGGTTGCATTTAGCAGCCTCACATCACTCCTCAGTTGCAAACAAGACACAAAATGCAAAAGTTGCAAGCCACTCAGCCTAACAAGTGCAGCATTATTTATTTAATGTCCCTTAGAACATGAATATTTAAAGTAGAAAATGACCTCTAAACAGAACAAAGTTATCAAAATCCATATGTGCCACCTCTCCACCCAGAGGGCAAGCTGAGTTTGCTGCTCAGCTCTGGTCAAAGGGGACCAGAGCAGAGGCTTCATCCTTCATCTCAGTAGCTGGTAACCCAGCCATCCTCACTGTGGCACTGACTCCAAAACATCTTTCTACAGATCTGCTATAAACCGTTGTTGTTGGTCACCAGCTTGTAGCTACTTACAGGTGATAAAGTGGGAGGAAGCAGTGTCTGGCACTGGTCGGATGCCCCACACTTGAGGCTGTTGCTCAGGTATGTCCCCAACATGCTGCAGAAGGGGTGGCAGCGTCTGAAATTCCACTGGAGCAGCTTGCTCCAAGCCCCTGTGTCCAACCTGGCCTTGAGCACTGCCAGGGATGGGGCAGCCACAGCTTCTCCGGGCACCCTGTGCCAGCGCCTCAGCACCCTCACAGGGAAGAGCTTCTGCCTAAGAGCTCATCTCTATCTACCCTCCTTTCTCCCTACTTTACCCCAATCTAATGTCAGCATCAAACCTTTCTGCTCTCATTAAATATTCTACTCATTTCTGTTCTGCTTTCCTTAAATCTCTCCCAGTTTTCTTGAGGCTACCACTATCATGTTATGCACCCCTTTTGGAGGCATTTCTATACATAAGAATCTCAAGGCCAAAGATCCAAGAAAACAATTCTTCCCCAAACCCACCAATTGGTTTGATTTGAAGGAAAATCCAACTGTGGGAATGGTATTTTTATTACATTCTCAGCCAACAGCATTGCTGCTCTTCAGGGATTTCTTAGTGGCTTTGGGGGTATCTCCGAGACCTATTGTGAGGACAGCCCTGAAGCACTGTCACCACCACCTCCATGGGGTTGTGCCATGTCAGACAAACGGATCCACATGGATCAGGCTCATCTGGAAATTAGGGATAATAATGTTTTCCTACCTTGCATGCCCATTGCAGGAGATCTTCATTAGCACTGGGAGGCAGTCAGGACCTCCACGTGATGAGTGCCATATAAAGCTGTCCGTGCAATGTGTTCATCACTCAGCCAGGCAGCCTGAGCCGAGTCCTCCCCTCTTGCCTCCTGTCACACAAGCAAGACAGCCTGAATATAAAAGCCAAGGAACTGTCTGCCATTTTCTCTGGTGTTTTAGCCACTGGGACTCAAGCTTTGCCAACTGTTTGCACCTAATGTTGCAACCAGCACATTTCAGCTTCAGCTTGTGAGATTTCTGGCATTTTGCTTGAAAAGATGCTGCGTTCCTAAAAAAAGCTCTTTTTGCAATGGAAGCTTCTCACAGAAAAAATGATTCACACCCATTTTTCACCAAAGTGTGCTGAAAGCAGGGGAAAAAAGAGCCAAGGAGAAAGCAGCAAGCAAGCAGTGCTGGAAAGCTCTGCAGGGAGATGAGACCCTGGCTGGTGCACGGCAGTGTGATAGTGTGATTTGCTTTGGTACCTGCTTTGTAGAGCTGGGACCTTCCCGAGTTTCTCCATCTGGCCAAGAAGAGGAAGAGCCGAAATAATCATCATCAAGTGGCAAGGCTTGCAACTAAATCTTCCCCTCTGTGAGGTGAATCCATCACTGTTTGGTGCAGGGATGCTTGCGCCACCCAACAGAGTGGCTGGACCAGGACCAGGTTGGGCTCTGGGATGGCTCCAGTCTGGGCTCACCCGTTTCCAACAGCTCCTCCAGGAAAAAAAGCACTTTCCAAATGTGTTTTCAGCTCAGTGACTGGAATCCCAGCTCTGCAAAGCTGCTGGTTTCAGCAAGCAGCCCCTGCCCTGCTCCTCACACTGACAGCTCAGGGTAGAAAGCAGCTTCCTGGGTGCAGTCTGCCACCAGGCCAGCCTGAAAGATGGAAATCAAAGAGGATGAGAAGTAGATTCATTATAGACTAATTAATCCAGCAACAGACTCCTGGACAAAGGTTGATGACATTCACTTCAGGATAATTTTGCAATAAATATGAGGATTTACAGAAGTAAAGCAGTTGGGAAGAGATTATTTTTTGAAGCATAAATGTAGCTCATTTCTAGACCCCCTCCTCCACATATCAACTAATGAAGCAAATCATCTGTCTGAATCAAAGATGTGGGAGAAAACCACAGTTATCTATTTGAACTACAAAAAAATTAAAGGATTTAAAATGAAACATGTAATTAGCCTGTAGGACTCTCTGCTGCAGGTTATTGAGGCAAAGAGAAAACCTTCCTAACTTTCAGAAAAGGACTCGACAGCTACAAGAATAGCTTTTGCTGCTCTATAAAAGAGGGGGAAGTGCTCATCTTCTAGAGACAGGCAGGTCCAGCCAGAGCCATAGGGTTTGTAGTTCTGCCACTACCCAGGCTCCAGCTGTTACCCCATTTTGCTCTGTTTTGTGTTCTTTTCTTGGGTTTAATTTTGCTATTGTTTTCATCTCCTTACATGTGCAGGAGCATCTCACTGCCCACTTGCAGCAGGAGCTGCCTGTCTCTGGACCATAAGGGAAATTAGGAGAGTGCAAACATCAGTGAACAAAACCCTTCATATGTCGGGTCCTGCATTGATGCTCTCCAGTGATTATAAGCGCTGAACCTCCATCAAAGATGCTGGCTCTGCGTCCCCTGATATCAGGCAATCAACAGATAGCAACAACACAATACCCGACATATGAGGGGTTTCATTCACTGGTGTTTGTGCTCCTCTGATTGAAGGCAGGCGAGCAGCACTACACATGGCTATTTTCATCAGCCCCCGGTGCTGCAGGACACATAGCTGATGAACACCAGCTGGCAGAGGGAGGACGTGTTCCCACCAATTAGCTGTATGATGATGCTCTGCAATCTCCTCTGAAGCATCTGGCGCGGGCCACTGGCAGACCGGGCTATGGGAGGAATCGGTGCTCTGTTGAGCTGTGGCAATGCTCTCGTTATTAAAGTTTAGATGAAATGAGGAGTTCAATGTCAAATCTGCAAGCCCGGCCAAAGGCTCGGCAGATGCTGCGTGTATAAACTCATACAAGGGTTAACATTGCTCTGGACAAGGCTGACATTAGCTTTCATAGAGGCAGCAAAAGAGCGTCCCTTAGCAGGAATCTTTTTTCCCAGAGATTACCACTGCATTAACATGAAATACCTGTGGGTCACATCTGAAAATCCCTCTTTATCATAGCTATGTATTTGCAAATGCAAGTGGCCCCAGGCAGGACAAGCACCTTATCTTTCACCAAGATCTATGCATGTTTTGTTGCCCTTTCTTGCATCAGTGCAGAAGCCAGTGCAAAACACCATTGTAGGGAGCTGGAAGGATTTTCCTGCACTCTTGTACTGCTGAAAACACCCACCCAAAGCAGGGAGAAAACTCCCGCTTGGTGCCTGCTGGTCTTACAGTGCCTAAAGGGGCTGCAGGAAACCTGGAGAGGGGCTTGGGACAGGGTCTGTAGGGACAGGCCAAGGGGAATGGCTTGAACCTGCCCGAGGGGAGACTGAGCTGAGCTCTTAGGCAGAAGCTCTTCCCTGTGAGGGTGCTGAGGCGCTGGCACAGGGTGCCCAGAGAAGCTGTGGCTGCCCCATCCCTGGCAGTGCTCAAGGCCAGGTTGGACACAGGGGCTTGGAGCAAGCTGCTCCAGTGGAAGGGGTCCCTGCCTATGACATGGGGGTTGAACCTGGAGGAGCTTTATGGTCTCTTCCCACCCAAACCAGTCTGGGATCTATGAAACAGGCAGGTCAGCATAATCCCATCACTCCCAAGTAAATGACCCCCTGACATCTCCATGAGGTAGAGAGCAGAGGTTTCACCAGCTCAGTTAACAATTCACAAAGCCACTTGATCACGATCTTAAAGCAAAAAAAGGTGAACAGAAAACGATTCCCTCACAAATAAGATCACTTTGACTAAGTCACTTGCTTCCCTTCAGAGGAGATACAAGGTTTTTCTCTCTTCCTCTGCAATCTGGCTCCCTTTTGAAGTTAAAAGAAAGGAAGGTTCGGGGGCTTTTTTAGTTAAGAAGAAAAAAAAAGCCCTTCTCCTCTTTGAAAATGTTTTTTCTTAGACAATTGCTGTCTCAAATTTTAACAAATACTCGCTAATTTGCACCTTGTTCAAAAGCCAAATGGTAAGTTTGATTTTTTTTTCTCCCCTCTACTGAATGTTCCTCTGCCTTTCTTTGTCTTAGTGGCAGAAGGGAGAGTCTTAAAGGAATCAAACTACCAGCTCCATTCCAAATTTCCACAATTTGTTACGTAGTTTCTTAAAAGGAGCCATAAGGCCACTTGAAGGGAAAAAAAAAAAAAGGAAGAAAAATCTTTTAAAAAGAAGAAAGAAAATAGATTTTTTTTCACCCATCTTATAGATGAAGTAGAAGAGACTAAAAAAGGCGTTTCATTTGAAATGCTGTATTCAAGCCCGAGGAAAATAGCTGACAAGGTGTCCCTGCTAGGAGATTCATTCGCAGAGACCAGGCAGAAGGAAACCAAGAGACTTGCTTCAAGGACAAAGAGAAAGGAAGTTTTGAAAGAGATGAGCTCAATTTAAACCATCCTTCTTGGTTTTGGCTGGCATTTTTGAGGTGTATGAGAAGAGATGCAGGGTTTGTTTTCCTGAGAGGAGGATGCGGGTTCTGCATGGTTTGGGTACAGTGGATGCAGTGAGTGATGGGCAGGATGGGGAGCAGGCAGGGGAGAGCTATGTGTGTCTCCCCGCACACTGCCTTGCGAATAGGGGAGGCTGCAATGATGGAGGAGTGCTTTAGGAACCAGGTACTTGGGGCTGCTCAGGCTGCTCTGCGTTGCTCCAGCAACAAGCAGCTCATCGGAGCGGCCAGAGAGAATTCCCCTGTGAGAACAGCACCGCCAGGATTCACTGCCATGGGTGAAGGGGGGAGCCAAAACTGGGGAGCAGAGAGGGCTGGCACCTCAGTCCTGTTGCACGTGAGGGTTTGGAGCAGCCCCAGCACTCGGGAACATGCATCTCCTTACAAGCAGGAGGAGCAGCCCTCCTGCTTACCCAGGACCAGGGCGTGAGTCAGTCCTCTAGGCAGCTTAATGCATAAGGCTCTCTATCTCCTGCCATGCACATGCATACACATAGGCACCAGCATGTGCCATTCATCCATATGCATACCCACAAGGGAAGCATAATGAAATGCTTCCAGCCTGTCCTTTCCCAGCAGGAGCAGATCCTCCCGGGCTGCTCATGATGGAGTACATGCACCAGCTCCCCCGTGCCATCACCCAAACCATGCTGACGGGCATACCACATCCATCCTTTCCAGTCTCCTCCACTCCGAGGCGGGCTAATAGCAACCTCATGCCCAAACCTGGTCCAGCTCCTCACTGCTCCACAGCTGGAGAGAAGCCAAAGGCTGCTGTGTGCATGATGAGCTTTGCTCAGGGCTGTGAGGAGGCTTCAAACCAGAGAGGAAAGATGAGGGCAGCAAGAAAACAATGTGAGAGCAAGAGGTGATAAAGCTAAAGGTGGTTCTAGGGAAGACAGACTGGCTTTTACACCAGGCATTGGAGCTAGGGAGAAAAAACAGCCTCCGGCTTGTTGTTATTTACTAGTATGTGCTGCGGTGGGTGTGTTTGCACATCTCTGATCAGCTGAACAGTTTGTATGTAGCCCTGGAAGAATGGCAAATTAACCCAGGATTCTGGTGCTGGAGACGTTTTGTACTGAAAAGATGCTTTTGGTGGCAGACTCACAGATTCCCTCCTGGATCGCACATTTGCATCCAGGATGTTTTCTCTCCAATATAAAGCCGGTGAAAACAAAACCAAACCAAACAGCCAGACACCCTTTCCAACAAAAATAAATGGAGCTGAAGCATCAAAACATATCTGTGCATTGCTGCTATTTGCTTATGAAATCTAAAAACAAAAGTCAAAGCTGTCAATAGAACTTTCGGGTCTTTTCAACTCAGAACACAACTTCCTTTACAAGCTTCCTCCTCTTTTTTAAAGTGCTTTCAGGTGAAAACCAAAGCAGAATTAACCCAAATGGCATTCTCCTCCTTTCATTTCTCTTTTCATTGCAAATCCCCGCTGAGGCTGCCCCTGCTGTCTCTCCAGGGAGCTGAGGACACGGATGCTCTGCAGCTCTGCTCAAGGGCACAGAGCCAAGCCCAAGGAGCTTTCATGGCCCCCTTCCTGCCTGCACCACATCATCTGAAATCAGACCCTGAGAAACCATCATGGTATGGTCAGTACTGGAGCCACCCTGCCGCTACCCATCCTGGTGAGTCTGTTTCCCTCCCATGTTGAAGAAGACTGAGTGCATTTTTAACCAGCATGTCTTAAACTGCATCTTCTTGGTGTAAAGCAACCACCACCACCAAGCCAAGCAGCAGGAACACGTGCACCTGGTTCTCAATAATGCCATGCAAATGAAAAGTATTCTGCATTAATATAGTGCTGTTACGGACACAAATGAGCTAGCACTGCATGAGGGAGCAGGTTTCAACTGCATCTTGCTTCATTAGCAGCCACCCCATCCTTCATGCACTCTTTCAAGGTGCACTACAAAGCCTCAGACATGTGAGGGGTACAGGGATGGGGTGAGCAGGGCAGAGCATCATTTCAGGGACCTGTTTCTGCTCCTTCAAGGTGCACGGCAGGGTCATCGCTGTGTGCTCTTTTCTCCCTCTATTCTTTCCCTGCTTGGTTCTCACAGATTAGAAACCCAGGTTTTAGCTTTGCTGGCCCACATTGTTCCTCCCTCCTCCCCAGCCATATTAAAAGCCACAGGAGGGTATTTATGTGAGGAAATCTTTGCAGAGAATCCCCTGCTCCGTCCCTGAGGAGCATCAGGTTTGTTCTTCCCCGGCTCCACGCAGCAGTAACGCTGCTTTCAAACCTACCTCATGCACCCCAGCAGTGATGAAGCCAGCCTTTTCCAAGCTGGGATGAGGACATACCTGCATTGCCCCCATCCTGAGCATATCCCAGCCCTGCTTTTGGTGGCCCATGGAATTCCCGTGGTCCCACATCCCGCTTGAGGGAAGGCAGCTCAGGGCATGCCCAGCACACGGAACCGATTCCTGCCCAGCGGTGAGACAGATGTCCCGACACTGAGTTATTTCTGCAGGTATCATTTCTTCTTACCTTTCTGGTTACAAACGATGGGAGGCAGAAGCAGAGGTCTCCTCCTCCTCGCTGCTGGCACCCTTGTGCTCCCAGGCAGGAGCGGTTCCCATGGCCCCTCTCTGCAACTAATTGCATGAGCTGCTTCCCCAGCACCTAGGGGAGAGGAAAAGATCATTATTGCTTTCAAAATGAGACTGTGCAGAAAGTATACAATGAGTCCAAAGCAGTAATTGTATTTCCCAGGGCTGGAGGGACCCTTTGCTGCCAGAGCCGCAAAGAGCCCGACTCCGGCTCCTCATCCATCTGGGCAAAGAATACATCAGTACGTAGGGCACTACTGCATAGGGCAGGGAAGAGATGTGCTAATGGTGCTCCCGTTTCTGTGGAGAGGGTGATGAGAGCTGCAGCAATAACCTCTGCCATCCCTTCTGCAGCCCCAGGGCTTGGCTATGGGGCCTGTAAACCAGGATTACCCAGCTTACATGGGACCATGACCCTGAGGAACCCCAGCCTGGGCTGGGCTGGCCTCAATGCCTCCACCTGCAGCCCTGATGGCCCAGGACCACTCATCTCGGGTGGATGCAGGGTGGCTCACGTGCTGCCGAGGCTCTGTGTTGGGTTCACCCCGGCAGCTGCTGCAGCCCGTGATCCCCTACGGCTCGTTTGGTTTGAAGCTGTTGTGTTTGTTTTCTTTCACTGTTTACTTTCAAGTATAAATGTGCAAGCTGGGGAAAGTGTTCCTAATGCCCCATATGTTTCCCCTCAGGAGCTGAGCTATTCCTTCCTCTGCTTTAGACTTTTAAGATCTTGCTACCTCTGGTGTTTTTGCCCTCTCCCAGTTGCTGCAGAGCCAGGAGCTGGGCTCAGGGAGCCACCAAGCATCCCCTGCCCTGAGATGTGCACAGCAGGATGTGGCACATAGCTCCTGTCCCATAGCCTCACGCTGCACCTGGGAGCCGGGCTGCCTCCATCCTGCATCCATCATCAAATACTTTCAACCTCAAAATGAAAAGAGAAAGGAAAAGGATGTTCTGTTCCCTCCCCTGACACATCCACACGCGCGCAAGCACTCCTGCGGACTTCTCCTTCGCCTGCGATATCAAATGGCCGTGTCTTTTTGAAGTTACCATGGCAGTGAGAGCAGAGCAACAGCGCAACTCGCAGAGGAGGAGGGAGCGAGGGAAGAACGCCAGCACAGGGATAGGGAAGATGGGAAGGGGCCACGAAGCTCCTCTGATGTGTGGAAGACGTGGCGCAGGGAAGGCTTTCCCACCGGAGATACTAAAATAAGCAAATAAATATCCTGCCATGAGAGGGCAGACAGAAAGAGAGATCTAAGAGCAGAGCTGGGGAAAGGACTAAAGGGAGAAGCAAAGCAGAGACAGAAATTCAACTAATTAGAGAACAAGGGATGTACAGAAAGAGAAACAGAAGAAGGTGAAAGAGGATTTGACATCAAAATGTAGAATGAGAATGATGCCAGGAAGCAGCAGGGGTTGAAGACAAAACACACAGAAATGACAATGACAGACTGCTTCCAGCAGCCAGCTCAGCCCGGTGGGGCTCCACGGACACCCTGCACTCAAGGGAGCTCCTGTGTCAGACCACTTACAAGTCCATCGGGCATCCTTCCGGCTGGGGCTTGAGGGCAATGAGCAGCCCAGGGCAAGGCTTGAGCTCAGGGGTGTTCCTCATAGGGAAAACCACACTGGAAAACCCTGCTCAGCGCAGCACGGTGGTTGCTCCATGCAAACCCAGGCTGAGCCCTCACACCAGGCATGTCCCACTGTGTGTTTGTGTCATAGCAGGCAGGGAGATGGTGGATGCTTCGGAAACCTTGCATAGAGAAACAGCACAGCACCTCTCCATACCTTGAGGATGGCCACTCTTAGTTCAGAATCCTGCTGTTGAGCCAAGCCTCACCCCTGCACCTCAATAATACAAACCTGGGTGCTTACTTAGAGCGAATGACCAGCCTAATTGGCCCTTTGTAGGACTGATAGGGAACGCGCGTCTGACATGTCTTCCAGGCAAGATTAGATATCTTCTGGTGAGGATCTAATCTACCCCAGCAACAAGGATCTGACATTTCCCTCTTGGGCTATTCCATGGATTTCATTGCCAGAAAGTCATTCAAAGCATCCCATTTTTCTCCGCGTGAGTCTGTACTCCCAGCAGAGCCATGCTAAATAATTCCTTTTTGCTCGGGAAGTTTAAACTCTTCATATGTCATCTTGGCGTTGTACCTCATTTAAAAGGGTTGACATTTCTTCAGTTCTAGGCTTACCTGGAGGGTGCTAAGCAGAAGACCAAGAGAATGGAAAACTTTGCAGAGCAAAAAGTCTTACAGAACAGGAATGTGGGATGGGAACAGCATCCCACGCATATTTAAATACCAGAATCCAGAGCGAGCAGGATTATGATTGCTTGGCCTGAAACAAATGGTTCCACTTTTGCTGCTGCTAATACCATTAAATAACCAAGAGAGGGAATGTCACTGATTAGAAAATAGCACAGAACGTTTGCGCTAATCAACTTTACAGAAACGGTAACTTTCAGCCCTAAAACCCCCTTGACAGTGTCCCTGTGAAGTTATTTCGGGTGAGGCGCCGCATACCGGAGCTGTCCCTTCGCATTAGGCTTGATCCCTGCTCGCCGGGCGCGCTCACAGCAGAGTGCACCCTTAATGCTTTTCAATTACATGACAGGCAAAGCAACTTATTGGTGCTCTTTATGTTAATGTCCCGATATTTTTCATATTTATGATATCTAATTACGTTTGCTCCTGATAGTGATGTAATGTTTAGGTACCGAAGATTGAGAAGACTGCTCTAATGTTAATATATTTACATTATTAAAAAGTAATACATTACACAGGCAATCTGCTGCGTAGGGCTGGATTTCTAGATGAGCTCTCAAGGCAAATCCATTATCTTCTCCCTCCTCCTGTCCCCTGTACCGATTCTGATAACTAGGATTGACTGGCAGTGTTTAAAGTGACTGCAGCTGGTATCGTGATGCCAAAAGGGAAAAGGTATCTTACACATGCATGAAATTAAATAGGCCCAGGGGTCTCAAAGGACCACACTGTATTACCAGGCACAGCAATTCAAGACATTAGCTCAGAAGATCAGCATTGCAAAAACAGTGCAAGAAAACCCCAAGCCAACCCTCGAGAGGGCTGGAGAAAGGCAAACTCCCCTGTGCACTGCCATCAGAGGGGCTTTCTGTGAAAGTCTATTAGCTAGAAGAGAAGCCTCTGCAAGCCCCTCTGGTTTCAGACTATCTTTTCCCCTTTGGTCAGGGAACAGCACCATCACCAGGGCACACATCTGCAGATGAGGAAAACCAGCATATTTATAGGACAGGTTAAGCTGTTATATTCCCTAAGGATCACCTTCTGGAAGGGGCATGTTCCCTTGGGGACTACATCTTTCTCCAGCGCTTCCTCACTGGTCACATCTGCAGAAGGTCACCAGAGAAGGTTAAGACCTGGGCTGGTGCTTCATGTATTTTTAAGGCACACCTCAAAGTAGCTAGCTCAAAGCTAAAGTGTGTTATTCAGTACCACATGTCTAGTTGACTCAGAGAAGATGTCAACCGTGAGTGAGAACTGGGGGGACTTGAGGCAGAAGCTCTGGTTAGATTTCTACCAGGGAAATTGGTAGAATTTACCGGTAGAAATACTGGTAATTGAAGCAGCTCAAACACTGGTTCCACATCAAAAACCCTAAAGAACCCTTCTCTGATAGTGAAAATGAGTGATACACACACAAGAAGACACAGAGATGTCCAGCACTAACAGCGCTGAAGAATGCGCTGAGGAACCAGCCTATCCAGGATTCATTTACAGATCCCTAATAAATGACAAATAGGTGCTTTAAGGAACAGCAGCTGTAGCAGTGATCTCAAGGCTTGAGTGATTGACACTGCAGAAGGAAAAAGACAAGTCTGGAGCTCACAAGCCTTGCTAATAAAAAAATAGATAACCAAAAAGATACGTGTAACTAGTTGTAGAATCCTTACCTGCTACAGCAAGGTCTGATGTGATCACCCATGACCTGCTTCTAAACTAGGGCTTATCTATGACTATGTGCTGCCAGCCACCCATTAGAAACCTACTAACAGTGGGTTAGCAGTAATTAATAGGTTAGACTGTCCACTGCCCACCAGTGAGGACAGGCTCTTTGGCCAGCATTTAGACCCTGGACGAACCAATTGGGTGATGGGGAGATAAGCAGGTATGTCTCCAGCACCTGCTTCAGTGTAGGTATTTCAATTCAGTACAACACACTCACATCTTTCAAGAGGAAAATATATGAAACTAGGTCTTCCTGGCTATTTCTACTCCTTTGGATGTAATTTCTGTCTCCTTAGTGATGTGTGCTCACACTGAGGATTGGAAATGACTCCTGAGTCAGTAATAGTGGCAGGAAGGAAGGGGGCTGCTTGCGTGTCACAACTCATCTACAGTAACAGAGAAGTTGTAAGGCAGCTTCTGTATTTTCCACCCAGCTGAAGCCTAGCACAAAGGAGGATTCTCAACCTTGCCTTTTAATGAGCACAGAGCTATAAGAACAATTACACTGAGTGAAATAAAATTAATTAACACACACATTTGGGGACTAAAGTGCTTATTATCTAATATGGATGAATTTGACCTAGCTTAAAATTGATGACAGAGCCCGAACGCAAGCAGCAGTCAGGTTAGCTAAAACTGAGATAAACATGGTGCAAAGAGAGATGCTGCTGATCCCTTTAATATCAGTGCTGCAAGAGCTGGGAGGAGTGGATGAAAGCATGTGCTGTACATAATTTCCATAGAAATTTGCTTCAGTTGAGCTTGTACTTTACATGTGTTTTAACAACTGAACTTACTGGCAGGAGCGAGCTTGGCAAAGTGAATATTAGGCAATACATGCATGAATATTTTCTTGAGCTGAAATTATCTGTTGGAAAAGGACTAGCACAATGCAGCACTCCGCTTCCTGGGATTCCAACAGCACTTAGGGAATTGATTGAGTTTGTGGTTGCCTGTGTCCTGGCGTTACAGCCAGGGTGCCTGCTTTAAATGCTTGCTCAGGAATTCTTAGTCTTGGAGGATTCTTT